GTTAATTACCAACGTAATTCTCATTGGTAACTAGGAAAAAAAAAATGGCACCTAAAAAAAATGGTGCCTGAAAATATTGGCGCCTAAAATTTTGAAGATGATTTTCAACCTGTCAGCGAAGATCTTTGTGTAGTTCAGGCGTGGTTTTTGTCGGTGATTTACTAACATGGCCCAAATTGCGAAGCATTTTCCTGCATTGCCAAACGTGATGTTCGTCGGTGATTAGCTCAGAGCTCGAGGCCCCTCTATATGTGTAGACGTTATGCTTGTCGGTAATTTATCGACGTGGGAACCAGAGATGTTTTCCGGTGAACTGTTCCGGCTCTCTCTTTGCAAGATGTTTCTTGTTGGTAATGAGAAGTGCGTTTACCAACATGATTTTCATCTACGTCGGTGATTGAATTATCGAGCTCGGCTTCACTAACAAACCCATTACTGATGTGATCCAAGTGGGAATTTTGTTTTACCGACTAGATTCCCTCTTGTACCGACATGATTGCTCGTCGGTGACACAGTAAATTCTTGTAGTGTTTGCCATAACCCTTTATTTAATAACATAGTTTTGAGACGCGTTTCCGTCTAATTTTTAGGATGATTGGCTAATAAACACTGTTTTCATATATAGCTATTCGTATTTTTATATTTAAATATTTGTTATGTGTACTTGTTTCTGTGTATGAATTTACAAATTTTGTTATATGTATTAATTTATGTCTTTGTACTCTTTGTACTAACTCATGATTTTTCTTATGAGTTTATGTATTTTCTTATATGTTTGAGGTACTATTCTATGCGTCATATATGAACTTAAGTACAAATTTTGTTATACGTTGAAAGATGTTTATTTTATATGAGTTTGTTTAGTTTATATCTTAAAAGTATAAATTAAGAGTGCATTAATTGAATTTTTTTATATTTAATTTTTAGAGAAAATTACAAAAGTTGATCATATTTTTATTACTAATGTTACATGTATACTTTTAATTAAATGGTTTATAAAATTAAAGTTATTTTTTAATTTTTTAATATAAATTAATTATAAAAATGTAAAATAAATATACTTTTAGAATACAGTCTACAAATTCCCAATTTATATAAAAGATTATATTATTTAACAGATATATATGTATACTTATTGGTATATTTATATCTAGAAAATTAGATAACAAGTATAAATTTTCATTGCTCTAATAAATATTGGATATTAAAACCTTTATTTTTAATTGTTAAAATATATAAAATAAAAAAAATCCAATAATAATGAGCTGTTTTAGAAGCCCAAATATAATCTATATAATTCATTATTCATTTTAACAATTTA